CGTTGTCTCTACTAATTTCCCTCCCTTCCGCCTCCTTCTCCCCTATCATCAGCTAACAGTTGTCCCGTGGAATTCCATCGCCCAGTTCTGGCCCCATACACCGTGTGGAAATTGCAGACGAYGCAACTACCGGCGGACCTCCGAAACTCCGGCGCCCCACCACAACGCACGGCGACAGGCGCCACGTGGAGGCTTCCGAAGGACSGAGCCYCGGGAACCGCGTCGCGGGCCTCCCCCGAACCCGCCCCTAGCCTAATTGCAYCCATGCCCCTAAAACTCTGCCACAGGAGATCTCAGTTCTGACCTGGGACTCCACCCCCACTTCCCCAAAAATCCTTGGCACACCCCATTTCGCACTTCCAGGCCCACCTCCCACTCCGATCAGGAAGTCGCGTCGGGCGTGAGGTTGGGCGTCACAACACCCCATGTACTTGTCTCGAGCCTGGCATAGTGTCCTTACAGATTTGAACGTTTGTTACGCATGCCATCAACCGGGCCATTTAGCCCAAGATTGCCCTCATCGACCCGCACAACCACGGGTCGGGGTCGCACCAATGGCGGCGGCCCCCATCGCTAATGGACCTGGACGGGTAGGAGCTCTAATGGAAGAAATGGAAGGCGGAGGAAGTACGTTAGCTACCACAGAAGAGGCTGTTGAGCTCATTCCATTAGATCAGTATGTATCACTTGGGTACCCGGGGCTTGGAATGATCGGGACAATCAGACCTGCACCAGAACAGAAAGAAGTGGCGGAATGGCGACCTTCTCCAGGGGAAATGGAGTCGGGAGGACCCACCTTCGTCACTGGCGAGATCGATGTCCTAAACATCGTCCGAGCTTTGGACTATCGGATTCCTCTTCCGATTGGCCATTTGCTTTCGATATCAGAACAGGCTAACGAACGGATGCTGCAACATTGCAAAGCGAATCGGAAACAATTTGCCCTTGCCAGAATGGCCAACACGAAAACAAAAGGACCAATGCCAGACGAAAATGCCGCAGGCGCTTCCAATCCAACACGCATAGGGCTGATACAGAAAGATGATCACTTCCTGCGGATCAAACCAATCCCATGGAAATCCGCGGCATGCGATATCGAAGTATGGGGAGTCCCGTATAATGCCATCATCGATTCAGGAACCGCTGTTTTGGCCATTTCGCTACGGGTAGTTGAAAAAGCAGGAAGAAATAACGATCTAATTATTCTAACAGAAAGAGATCAGCTCGTCTCTGCAGATGAAGAAAAGATTAAAACAGTGGGACAAATGACTAACGTTGCTTTTCGATTAGGAAAGGTGCATGCTTTGGGCGAAGTTGTAGTATTGGATGTTAATACTTACGACGTTCTTTTTGGCCTTCCCGCCCTGGTAGCGCTGCGAGCCAATCTGAACTTCGAAAGACGATCGATTATCCTCCGAAATACGGGAGGAAAACCTTATGTTGTACCAATGAGACTGACTTTGCGTACTACCGCTAACATAGCCCCACGGGTTTCTCCCGCCATGACAGGGACCCTTCGTATGATTACCTGGGACAAGGGGCAGACATCTAAGGATGCCGACAGCAGTGATGATGAGGATGATCCCGTAATCTTGGAAATGGCACGAGAACGTATCCATTAGCCCGTACAGCGGATAAATGCTCGAACCTTGAGCAGGATTAACCAAGATTTGCGAAGAACACAGGCAATGATTATGGGAGAACCTCTCGTACAGATTTCGAGGATGATCGACCCTTTGGAACCCCCTCGAACCCTGTACGAAGGGATCTCTCCTCTTCTCGCCCGATACAACGACAAAAGGCACTACTGCGATATTACGGATCTCCCGAAATCATTGCGACCACCTGCGAAAGAAATTCGACTATTACGCTTAGGGGCAGAGATCAGCTCTTTGGAACCCCGTGAGCGCCTCAAAAATGGACTCGGATTAAGATCGCCACGAAACCTGTGCCATGGCAGGACATTCGAGATGGAGTAACCCCGAAAGAACATGTGGCCATCTGGGAACAAGATGCACAAATGATGGCCACGGTGTTCTCCTGGCGATCCGATAACTCATTCATCTCCGCGCCCCCGTCGGAAAGTACGAAGCGGATAAATACGAAACACATCGATATGCGGATATGGGACGAGTTATATGAGTTACACGAACCTCGATACGTACCTGATGAGATTCACCTCTTGATCGCCGACATCCTGAAGGAATACAAAGGAGCGATTAGTGTGATAGACACGGACATTGGACTGTCGTTAGTCATACAGCATGAGATTCAAACGGGAAATCATTCCCCGATTCACTGCAAACCGTACAGGTATTCCCTGATGGAGCGGAAAAAGGCTCTCGAGCGGATTCGAGAGTTCGAAGCACGCGGATGGATCGAACCCGCCACCAGACCATGGTCATTCCCGGTAGTATTAGTGCCGAAAAAGAACGGATCAATTCGCATATGCATCGATTATCGCAAACTGAATGATATCACGATTAAAGATGTATATTCCCTCCCCCGGATTGATGATTTGTTGGATGCGATTGGGTGTGCTAACTATTTCAGCAAGTTTGATATTCGACATGGCTTCCATCACATTCTGGTTAAGGAGGAAGACGAGGAAGAAACCCCGGAAGAGGGGAGCTATAGCAAGCACAGCGAGGAAGAGCCGAGCGAAGAGGGGGTGAAGAGGAGCAAGACGACGAAGAAGAAGAACTGGAGTTAGAGGAATCGGAGTGGGAAATCTCAGCGGAAGAAGAGGAACCAGCGGACGCTCAGGCAGAAGATCCCGAGGCGGCGCGCAAGAAGGAAGAGATTGCGGTCGGGAAACGACAACTGGAATTCGCCAGCGCGGCAAATTTGTCGATTACCGACAATCCGGCCCGCGATCCAGAACCGCCTAAGCCTGAAGATGGAGAACGGGCCGAGACTTCGAGCGCACCGACAAGGCGGCGACGAAGCCGATCCCCCTCCCCCTCCGCCCCTGACCGTCCCGCAGTTCGAGCCCGTACTGATGCGGGCCATCGGGCTTCGTCCCCGGTCGTTATCCCGTCGTCCCCTTGATCACCTCACCCTCCGCCAACTCACCACCCGCGTCACCTTCCCCAACAATCTTTTCCCCCTCGACACCTTCCGGTTCTTTTATGCCACCCGATTGGTCGTCACCATTCCCCCCCATCCCTCAACCTGATGCGCCCTTCCCGACTTCTGCCTCCATACCCTTCTCCTCAGTGCCGCGTGGCGAGGCCACAACATTGTCGAAGTTTATTGCATGATTACCGGGACTATCCCCGAATGCGAAAACTTCGACCGTTTCTGCGTGGCTCTCTTCCGCACTTTCACCACCTTGTACCCTGACTATCTCGCTTCTCTCCCCCACGGTGGCAATCGTTTCCCCCGCGTCCACCGGATCGTCCGCTATCAAGAGCTGTCGGAAACGGTAGCCCAGGTGGACCGATTCCTGCCCCCGCTTCCCGTCAATCCACCCCCTGGCCATGCCCGCATGTATCGTCTCCCTTTCCCCCTCCCCGGTGATTATTGAGGATCGGTGATCGGTTGATTGGTGTGCGTGCCGCGGCAATGGCACGAGTAATCCCCTCCTTGGATTGTCAAGGGCCCTTCCTGAGGAATTAGTAGTTTAGAGATGTGACTGCCGCACTGAATGACTTCCACACTCGTTCACACGGTAAGCGGCAACGAAGAAAGCTCCGCATCTCGATCGACTAGAGAAATCGACACATGTCAAGATTCAAGCAAGCGGGAGCTTGCTTAAGATTGGAACCCCCAAGGCGTCATATATGTGAAGAACCGATTTCTGCACCGCGCGATTTTCTGCGCGGTACAACGAGGGGTCCTAAGATGGGAAGGATGGGCCAATTACGGGAGATGGGATTGAAGGGAAATTGCATCGGTGTCCTCGCTTCTTCGTCCTTTTTCGTCGTCTCTTCTCGGATTATTGGGTTCAGGGCCGGGTGAGTCCCGGGACGATCGATTGATTCATTGGCTGTGTGAGTGGCGCGCCGCCATGCGAGCAATTAATAAATGTTGACATCGCTTCTTTTGTTTCGGTTTTCGGACTTTGGGCGCGGACATCGCACAGGACTTTTGCTTCGTTTCTTTTGAAATTTCTTTTTGAATTTCCTTTTTGAATCTTGGCGAGCCCCGATGGCTCTCGGAATTTCGGATTTCCTTTTCGGAATTTGTGCTTTTTGCTTTTCCTGCATTTGGTGGGAATTTAGGACTTTTTGTAACTAGGATTTTTCTTTTGCCGCGCAACGCTTTTTGTTCGCGCGCTTCTTTACACGGCTGCGACGAAACTCTGATTAGTGGGCGTCTTTAATCGTGTGTGTAGCTATAATTTTGGGCGGGCGCTATTGTAACTGTACCTTTCTTCTTGTGCTTCGTCTTTCCCGCTCTCACTTTTTCTTGCTGAGTCTAGCTAGTCCACGGACTGCATGCTCGGATCGATGCGTGGAGAGAGGCTACGTCCCCCACACCGCGATCTGGCCATGCAGAACGTAGGCACTCCCTCTCATGACCTCCTCTCTAAGTCCTTGCAATTCCGTGTTCTTCGCGCATGCATGCACGCTATAAATTTCGGCTGCGCGATTAGAGAGCTCTCTTAACCAGCTGTTGGAAGCTCGGGGTAGCGCGATCAGCGAGGATCGGCTCACGAGCGAAGTAAGAGGTGAGTTGAAGTGGGAGTCGGGCGACCCGACGGGCTGGTGCCAAACGCGCGGGGTTGACGCGGGCCACGACGGACTGTGGGCGAGGGCGAACCTGACGGGTGCGGGAGGACTAAGCGGGGTGACGACTTCGTGGGTTGGTGCGTGACGACGGACT